GCTGGGTGACGGATCGGCTCACGGATTCAACAAAGCACCGAACAGTGCCGAAGATGACAACTGGAGTCATGGGTAGAGGATACACTGTACGTACTCGCCGATCTACCTCGCCAAAAGACTAATACCCTATACTTGGTATCGAGCCGTTATCCCACTGTAAGCCCGCTCCCACCCCCACCCCCGCATTTTTCTGTTGGCGCGGCATCCCACCTCCGCACTGAGCGAATCCCGATCCGGCTCCGGCTATGGGGTCAGCTCTTTCCAGAAGCCCGCCGACCAATGGAGGCCCACTCATTATCCAGATGAAGTTGCCTCTTGGAAGGAGGGTTTATAGTCGGGTCAGTTATGGACGATTCTGCGTGTTCACCAACTCAGTCTTTCGTCGCGCCCAATTTTCCATCAGACTCTTAACAGCATGCCGGGCATCTACTTCCTGGTGGCAGTGGCAGCCCTGCTGATGGGCTCTATACGCCTCCTATCCATAGGCCGGAGGCCAAAAAATTACCCCCCCGGCCCTCCTACATTGCCCATTTTAGGCAATCTTCATCAGGTACCTGGGCCCCTTTCGCCGCCAGGACATTCAATCTAACCAATTGGACTTGGTTCTTAGATGCCGACAAGGGATGCTCACTTACAATTCGAGAAGTGGGCACGCGAATATGGTCCAGTGTATAGCTTGATGCTCGGCACCAAAGTGTTGATTGTGTTGTCAAGTGACGAAGCTGTGAAGGAACTTCTCGACAGAAGAAGCGGCATATACTCGGACCGATTAGACATGTATATTGGCCAAACCCTGTGCAGTGGAGGCCTGAGGTTGCTTATGATGGTGAGTATACATGTCTTTTATCCTCTAACCACTGCTAACTGCTTGCGAAGGGATATGGACCAGTATGGAGAGGAGTAAGTGACATGATATTATGTCAGATTAATTTCTACTGACTCGTTATCCACCAGTTCCGCAAAATGATCCATGGTCTCCTCAACGTCAACACTTCCAAGTCTTATATTCCTTACCAGATGCTCGAGAACAAGCAGATGCTGTACCAACTCCTAGAACAGCCCCACGACTTCCTCAAGCACATCAGGAGGTATTCGAATGCTTTGACAACAACCATGGTCTTTGGTTGGAGGACGCCCACCTACGAAGACGCCAACATGAAGCAGCTCTTCGAAGGATTTTCAGAGTTTGCAGAGATCAACCAGACCGGTGCTGCCGGGTTGATCGATTTCTACCCCATCTTGCAGAAATTGCCCGACTTCCTCCTTCCGACGCAGAAGAAGGCGAAGATGCTCCACAAACACGAGAAAGCTCTGTACTTGAAACATTGGCTAAATGCGAAAGCTGAAATCAAGAATGGGACCATTAAGCCATGCTTCTGCGTTGGCATGGCAGAGGCTCAGAAGGCCGAAGGCTTCAGTGACGACCAAGCGGCTTACATATCTGGAACGCTTCTTGAAGCTGGTTCGGACACAACCTCGAGTACATTATATGGCTTCATCCAAGCCATGGTGTTATATCCAGAAGTGCAGAAGAAGGCGCAGGAGGAGATCGACAAGGTCGTCGGTAGCCGGCTGCCAACGATGGAAGACGACTCGAATCTGCAATACGTCCGAGCTTTGATAAAAGAGTCACTTCGTTGGATGCCAACCACCATCTTGGGCGCGGTGCCACATGCGGTTACCAAGGATGACGAGTACATGGGCTATCTCATTCCTAAGGGCGCCGGAGTCATGAATAACGTCTGGGCCATTCAGATGGATCCTAAACGACACCCCAATCCCCGGCAGTTCGAACCCGAGCGATACATCCACGATACACAAAGTCTTTACGACTCGGCCGCCAATGCGGATGCCAGCAAACGAGACGTCTTCACTTTCGGAGCCGGACGACGCATCTGTCCCGGCATGCATGTTGCCGAACGCAGCTTGTTCCTTGGTATATCGCGGATCTTGTGGGCGTTCAACATCGAGCCGGTTGTGAATGCGAGAGGGAATAAAGTCCTGCCGGATCAGGAGAAGCTCACTCAGGGCTTCGTATGCATGCCAGAAGAATTCCAGGCAAAGATAACGCCAAGGTCGCCTGCGCGGGAAAGGGTTGTGAGGGAAGAGTGGCATAAGGCTGAGAATGAATGCCTGGATCCACGGACCAAGCAGTGGTTGAGCCATGCTCAGCCTTAGGCGTTAAGGAGGTCCAGGTGGTCAGACCAGGGCTGTCTGCAACTATGCTTGAGCATTCGGACGTAGCGGCATAACCTCTCTAAGCCGTGATTGTAGATCTATCATAATACTCCAAGACTCTATATGAACTCATACTCCCTCCTTACCAGCCGTTGGTGGCGGAGCGGAATCGGCGGGGCCCCGCTTTTTCCCGCTTTTTTTTCGGCACCAACCCACCCTGCTAGTTCGCCTCTTTGCCGAGATCAAATGCCTGGACGCTCGCCAAAACTACGTGGGATTTTCATCTGGAACACTCCAGCTCGCCAGGAAAAACGATGGCAATGATTTTGCATTCTCGCAAACAGCCTTACCCTTGCGCAAGACCCCGATGGCAGACCATCTAAGCTTGAATGTGTGTCCGACGTGTTCCAAAACATACAAAAGGCCCGAGCATCTACGTCGCCACCAACTTTCACACGGTAGCGAACGGCCGTACGTGTGTGTTCTCTGCCAAAGCACCTTCCAGCGATCCGATGTGCTCAAGAGACACCTCAAGACCTGCGAAAATATACCTGACGCCTCATCGGAGTCGCTCGAGCCCCAACCCAAGAGGCTAGCGTTGTCACAATCCACTCCGCCAGAAGACACGGCCCTTGCCTTGCCAAGTCCGTACCCGGGGCGGTCTCAGCTTCGGGAAACAGAAAATCTGGGACCGAATTCTGTCGAAATCTCTGGAGACTCTTTCGAACATATAGCTGGATGGATCTCCTGTGGCCTGTCGAACCACGGTTTTGACGGCCGATCCGATATCTGGCAGGATTTCTTGAACTTCAATTCGGGCCCGCAAACGCCCCGTGCAATTCCCGACGAGACAGGTGAGGACATCGGCTCTTTGGGTTTCCTAGATACTTTTACCAGTACGACGGGTTTCGTGTCTTCATTCGACTGCGGAACGATCGAACAACGTCGACGAGTCAATGCCTACTTTTCCGAGCCTGCAACCACAACGGCAGACTCGTCCGGTCCATGTAGGGATGATGCAAGTTATTATGAAGCCGATGAAGACCACCTCGTTGGGACGACCCTAAGTCGGTGGCTCTCCGACCCCCTGTCCTTTAAGTGTCACGAAATAGTCACCTCTATCAGAAACATTGTGCTTCACAAGTCCAGAAAGAGTTACATTACCCTATCATGGTCGCCTACCATTCATGAAACATGTGCACAGTTCTTTTCTCCGACAAACATCCGACGTTTTGTGCATTTATACTGGGCAATCTGGCATCCGAATGTGAATATTGTACACAAGCCGACGTTCGACCCTACGTCGTCCAAAGCCGAGCTTCTGGCGGCAGTGTCTCTAATCGGAGCGTGTGTCTCGCCCGACCAGACCGACGTCGAGAACGCGAGACGGTGGTTCAACTGTGTCGAGGAAATGGTATTCGACGATGAGGATTTCTGTAGTGACCCGCCCAATGCCATCTCCCAAGACCCGTGCGACATCCGGTGGCGCCGGCAAAAGGTCCGGGCTCTCCAGGCGTCGTACATGGTCTGTCTCTTCCAGAACTGGGAGGGTACGAACTCCAGCAAGCGGCGAATTCGGCGGCAGCGCTTCAGCATGGTCATCGCGGCTGCGAGGGACGTGGGTATCCACAATGCCCGACATCCCGATTACGACCAGATGGACCTTTGCGACTTTTCCTTCGACAACTTTGCTGTCATCGAAGAGCTCATCCGCGTGTTTTTGTGGGTGTTCCTTCTCGACACAGCGTTCGTCATCTTCAACAACTTGCCCCCACGGATGGTTATCCGGGAAATGAGGATGAACGCGGCTTGTTCCGAAGCATGTTTCCAGGCCATGACAGCTGAAGAGTGCTTCAGAACTCTGAGGCACCAGGACCTGCACCAGCACCAAAATGACTCGCTCGTACGCCCTCCAACGGTGTCAAATAACTTCACCTCGGCCTTCGAGCTTCTCTACCGTACCGACCTGGACGACACCCTAAGCACGGCGCTGGCCGATCTGGGACCTCTCAACCTCTTCGCAATGACCTCGGCGTTGCACTCTCTGATTTTCCACCACCAAAGCTCCTTCAGCTGCCAGGGTTCGCTCGATCCGATCCACAACGCCCTCCAATCATGGAGGAAGGTGTGGCACGTTTACCTGTTCCGGTTCGCGCGGGACTCGCACCATTCGACTGTCAGGTGCGACATGGAGGTCCTCGCACCGGACGACATGTGGAGACGTGTGGGCTTCATGCGCCACGCAAACGAGTACTGGTACCTCGCCAACCTCATGGTCCAGCGTCTTTCAATGCCGCCACTTACGGATCCCAGTGAGAGCGCCTTGGAGGTGTCCGGACAGGCCCAGAGCCCTTTGAGTGCTTCAGGCAATGAGTCGATCGGCCCTCTTCTCGAGAAATATGACGAGACTAGCATGCAACAGGTGAACACGCTGATCTCAGACTTTCAAATGTTTCGTATTCACTAGTGTTGGCTTGGGTGATGCAGTACCGATTATACCCTGTATTTGCTGTTTACCATTTGTGGATCTAATGAGATTTGTCATTGCCAAACTCGTCGTATTAGTTTCTCAAACGTTGTTTGAAAGGCCTACTGTAATCCATTCTATGCACAAGCGCATATAGTCAGCTTTCTACATCTAGCAGTTGACGCTTGGTCTTCGCGACAACTTGAGAGTTAGGATACGCAAGACATTCACATCTGCGGCGTTGGCCAATCATTGCTTCAACTTCCACATCAGCGCAGTAGAAGGAGTGAATAGTTTCACCCTTGTTAGAAACCAAATGTTTCCTCCATCACGCAACCATGAATGATGAAAATCATCAATCCAGTTGAAATCCCTCATATTCGTGTTCGGCACTCTCATTCAGCGTTTTGTAATAGGTCGGAACCCCTCCAAGATATACCAGCGGTTCTCTGATCTTCCCTGGGATGTTGTCGCCCATATACCACTGTGACTCGGTCAGTATGTGCAATGCCAAGCGTGCAGAACAGTGATACACAAGACTCACCGATTTTGTAGTAGGCAACAGCGACATGTTCGCAATCGTTTTGACGCCTTGGGCCCAATCTTTTTCCGCCTGTTCGTGTGCCTCGATCAACTTTAGTCCTCTTCCCTGCGTGTAATTCATCAACTTAACGATCCATTCGCCTTGCAACTCGGCGCAAGTTGGGCCGTTGCAGAATGCCGTTGGCGCTTGAGGCCCATAGGTGAAAAATAGGTTTGGGAATCCAGACACGGCCATGCCTAGATATGTCCTAACACCTTGCTTCCACTTAGCCTTGAGCTTCTGTCCTGACTTTCCACGAATATCAATTTCGTTGAAGCCACCGGTGAATGCATCATATCCTGTAGCAGAGATGATGTAGTCGAATTCCCATTCCTTTTCGGTCGTCCTGATGCCTTTCTCAGTCACCTTGAGTACTGGAGTTGAATTGACATCCACCAAAGTAACATGAGGTTCATTGAATATCTCAAAATACCCGTTTTCTAATGATATTCGCTTGCATCCGAATGCATGGGGCTGCATCTCTGGAGCTAGGACTTCCTGTCGTTTAGGGTCTCTAATCTTTGCTCTAACTTTGTCGCGCCAGAAGTTGTAAGCTTCCTTATTAGCATTCCAGTTAAAGAGCATATCTTTGTATCCGGCTAGCCAGAAGTGGAAGTCGCCTTCTTCCCAAAGTTGTTGGTAGAAGCTTTGTCGTTGCTCGGGAGTATCGTCAAATGTGGCTCGGTTGATGAACTCGAATGAGAGACCCCCGAACTGCGTAATCCCCCCCCGAAAAATTTGGAGTATTTGTCTCTTGGAAATACTTGTTCATCCCCGACGTACTCGATTTGCTTCATTGGTAGAGCTAGATTTGGTGTCCTCTGAAAGAGGACAAATTGCCCCGCCACTTTGCTAATTTCTTGAGCGAGTTGAACACCAGTAGAGCCAGTGCCGATGACAGCGACCTTCTTGCCTTGGAGATCCGGCTCCTCCTTTGGCCAATAAGATGGATGCACCCAAGTTCCTTGGAACTTTTCGATACCTTTCCAGTCCGGTATATGCCTTTTTGCGGCGAAACCGGTATTCAGGAGAAATTGTTTCACTTTGAATCGTTTACCATCCGCAGTAGTCACCAACCATCTAGAGTTACTGTCGTTCCATTCTGCAGCGGTCACGCGCGTGTCGAAATATGTATCTCGTCGTAAATCCCATTTTTCAGCCACGAATTGAAAGTAGTTACGTAGCTCTTCGGAACCTGGGAATCGCTGGCTCCATGACCATTCCCGCCAAATCTCAGGATCAGAAAACTCATAGAGTGGAATGGCACTGTCGACGCGCGCACCAGGATACCGATTCCAGTACCAGACGCCTCCGTAATCGGACGCCAAGTCAACCAATTTTACTTTGTGCCCTTCCTGGCGGAGTCTTCGAAGTTGATAGACCCCACCAAAGCCTGCACCAACAATGAGTGCGGATCTTCGACAATCCCTGGTCGAGGACCAGTGTTCAATGCAGTAGTACCATTCATCGTCTCGAGGTGCTAACAATATGATTGAGACTGCAGGGATATGTGGGCTAGAAACAAATGTGTTGAACAGTTCAACCGGCTCGGGATGCAATCAGAGCACAACATGGAGAATATTTAAACTCGGTCTTTCTAGCAAAAGTATGCCACACTATCCGAAGCTCAGAGAGCACACCAAAAGGAGTCATGCTGCCTCGGGAGGAAGGAATCTGATTTCGCCCATCTCGACTCCCTGAGCACGTTCCGAAGAGATTTTGCGATCAATGCCGAAATGAGGCTCGGCATAATGCCTTGTTTCATGAGGATTTCTGTGCTGGATAAGGCCCCTACTGCCCTGAAATGTGGGAGGAATTGAGCGGGGGTGGGATTGAAAACCAATAACAGCGTCGGTCCATCGTTACTTCAGACGTCTGCAATGTAGGTGGCAGGGTTCTCATTACTGTCAGCGCACGAAACATTTTCGGATAGCTGTTGAAGAGTACTCCTGCTCGCATCAGTTCCCTCTCGGTGAGTTTGACTGTTGCAGATTGGATGAAGTGAGGGTAGTGACTGCCGCTGCCGAGGCTCTCGCCGCTTCGGCGACTTTTAATGCCCGATTAGAACATTAGGAAATCGATGCATTCAGAAGTCTTTGCACCGCTCAGCGGGTATGACTGGAGAAGTTGTGAGGATGCTCAACGAGGCGCGGTGGTAGAAGGTGGTTTGGGCCGCCCGTGGTCGAACAAATATTACGAGCGGTTTTGCTGCAAGCCATTGTTGTTGCAACGTCGATTGTAAAGTCTTCCAATTTCTCAATGCTTCGACAAGATGATCTGCATGATGATAGCCGAACTCTTAAACAATCGGATGGATATAGTGTCTCCTGCTTGGACGCATCTCGATTCACCCAGCCTCAAGAACATCCTTACAACATGTCGCTCTATTGGAAGAGAATTTAGAGAAGTGGAGTCCAACAAGGTGCGCTGGTCGTAATAAATGACGGGATTGGGGAAAGACACCTAGCGATGACTCATTTGAAGACTGGTGAAGCGGTTTGCCGATACCAGATGTTGCCAGGTCATTTCGCCACTTTGAAATTTCGGCCGAATTTGCATTGTATCAGTCACTGTATGAATCCTGTCATAGCTCCCATTTGGATGATCTCCCGGTTGCAAAATAATTATCAATGACTAAACATGGGTTAGAAGTCTGCTTGGCTGAGCAGGGCAAAAGGAGTGGCCCTGAAGAATTTCAGAATCTAGGGTTGTAGCTTGTCCCCGTGAATCGATCGAGTATGTATGTGCATTCCGGCAGCTGCTGACATAAACATCAGCAAGGCTCCAGCCCCTGGACAGGCTTAGTGGGCTGTTGGCTTCTTTCTCCCCACAGCGGTTGAAAGTTGTGTCGCCGAGTTGAAGACCAGTGGCATATGCTCAGAGGTGTTAGATAGCGAAATGGACCAAGCTACCACAGCCGGCAGCCGGTCAATGCTGTGCATCATTTGCAAGTTGACAACAGGAGCAGCAGCAAGGCAAAATCACATCACTTCTTGAACTCGACTCGCAGCGGCCTTCCCCCTCCCCCCCAAAACAAGAAATTGCACCCATGAGTCTTGCGAGACCTGATGGATACATCTGAATATGAGCGGTAAGTGGTGTTTCGAACGCTTCCATGAGTTTTGAATGCATGGTTAAGACCAACTCTACTTCTTGCTCACTGAAGAAACTTCCGGCATCCATCATCAAGTCAAGAACTCGGACGAATTCGTCAGAGACATCTAATTCTCACTGCATATCGCTGGATCGGGTGGTTGGTTGAAATCTGTCAAATGTCGACTCTCGGACCCGCAAGTTCGTGCCCTCCCACAGCAGCCCTTGCAGGGGGGCGTGTTGTGCAATCATATTCGAAGCTTCTAATGGAATGTCTCCGCTCAAACCGTGACAGATGTAACAGCGTGTAAACATAAAGGTGCCGTGGAGGGAGTCGTGAAGGGGTCTTTCGTTCTTTCCGTCAGATTCGATAATATCCAAAAAAAAAAAAAAAAAAGGGAACTGGCAGAAGCTCCACAACCTCGTTATGTCGCTGGATATCACCCTTCCCTTGCTCACATTGGCGGCCATCGTTCGATATTTCAGTCTTTCAAAATGCCAGTCAGAATTCTGGCAAGCACTCCTCGAACATTCTGCTCATTGCCAGAGTTCAGAGTTGTTAAAACAATTGCGACACTTGTAGCAAAAACTAGTTGTTCTCTATGACGGTATTGCTTATCATAAACGCGAGGAAGAATCGTTGCCAACGCTCTCGGCGCCACAAAGAACGCAATTTCCTGTCGTCGACTTGGCTTCTCCAGGAGGACGGACCAGCCACAGGCAAGGCAGCCTGCCAGGATACAGAGTCCCGAATCCCACATCTGGGGCGTTACTGTCTTGTGCGCAAAAATCCATGGGCCAAGCCGAGTTCGCGCGAGGCAAACCGCGTAATAAAATGAAGCAACAAAGCCAGCCAGGAAGGATGAGGACCTTGCTGCGGCTTGAAGAATCTTCCAAACCGACTTCGGTTTCGGTGAACGCACGAGTGTCAGCAGTTGGAGAGGCATGTATATCCCCATTGCAAATTTCCAACTTCTGCAAAACCGGGAAAGCGCATGCACTTCACAACTTTTGCCCGTTCCACAGTGATACAACTCACAGGGTATTGGGATGGTCTTGGAGGGGTCGGCGAATTCGTCAGGCAACCCCAGCTCCCTGCAAAGGCCCGTAAGAAGCGGTGCTTGGGCTGTATCCTCACCGTAGACAAAATTGCCTTGTCGAGCTAAGCGCAGTGCTTGAATCAGACGAGGGTCTATCTCAGCGGCTTTTGAGATCCAGTGATTATATGAGCGGGGGAGTCGTTCAGGCGAATAAAACCATGACCACATGATGATTGCAGCGGAACCTGCAAACACTGATGGATCCGCAATCTTGCGGATGAAGTTTGAAAGTCGCGGGTTTCGCTGTTCCGGATGCCATGGACTCGTTCTCGTTCGAGTCCAAACAGTTAACACCATGACATCCAGCGCTCGGCAGAAGGCGAATGCTGTAAAATCAATGGTTTTGCCAGCATATTTAGGATGGTAGGACCGCGGGAGCGGTTTTTGCAGATTCAAAGTGTTCTGATCAATGGCGTTGGCAGTGGGCACGGATCGTGATATCGCACGCCTTCGAACCCAAGTTTCATCACGGTTGAGCAAGGCAAACGCCAGCCATGCTGACCAAAAGGAACACAAGAAATGGATGCATACTGTGAGGTTCCTGCTCAGGCGTGCGGATGCTCCCCTGCCAAATGTTGAAAGCAGGGATTGAAGAATGGTCTGGACCAGGTGAGGAAGGGCAGTTGCTCCACCAATGATGATGGCGGCGGCGGTCGGGAAGCGATTAAGCTGGGCGGAGGTGACAAGAATCTTGCGGAGGAGAGCCAGAGCCTCTTTTGATGCCAGACGGTCGCGTCGAAGGGTCCTCAGGAGGCCCAAGAGCCTAGGCGCGGTCACGGTGAGATATCCCAGAGCATAAGCTCGGAGGAGGGGTTTGAGGGTGTCGAGATGGATGCGTCTTTGGCGATTCATTACGATATCTGGTGGGTGTCATGGAGGAGATGTGGTGGCGATGGCAAAGGGGTGAGAGATGTTGCACTCGCTGTGTGCACGGTGAATTGAATCGCGAAAGATTGGGATGGTGCGAAGAGCCAAAAGAGCCTCGGTTCAGCCTGACACGGTTGCACGTGAGGATGCAAACTACTGCCAAGAATCTTGGTGATACGGATTTTCTGTTATTCCGAACTACTGCAACTAGCGAGCCTACATAGCGAGATATGTAGCTACCTCGTATTTAATCAGCCGATAGTCGTATTACGGAGTACCAGGGTGCAGCGTCACAGCAACTTGCCAGAAATGAGGATGGACGCAGCACAACCACCCGTTAATTGAATTTAGATCTGCGCATCCTCGTCCGAGTAGAATTACAACTGGTGGCTCACTTTGTGCGAGTGGTGCGAGGACTTCTCGGGAAGTGTTTCTAGAACCGGTGTTGGTGGCAGTGACAGACGCAGGTACGGCATGAGGTGCCTCGTATTGTCCCTAAGGACTTGGTGCTAAAGCGCCATATTATATCGCCGTTATAGATCCATCCTGCCTTCTTTCTTTTCCTCTTCCTTCTCCTTTACGCTTCGCTCTTTTCTCCCTCCCCTCATCACTTTCGCGTCCGTTTCGCTTTTTCCCGTCTGTTTTCCCCCATCACACTCGTTATGTCCCTCCTCTCCTTCCTTTTGGCTGCTCTGGCTGCAGTGCCTTGGGTCCCTGCATCACCGCTGCATCCCCGTTCCGACTACAATGTCAAGGAGTCCAACAACGTCCCTCCCGCATGGGCCAATATTGGCCGTCCCCATCCCTTGCATCTCTTGACCCTCAACATTGGCTTACAGCCTAATAAGTTCCATCTTCTCGAGCAGCACCTGCATCAAGGCGAGCCGAGTCTACCCCGCACGCTGTTAATACTCCGCTAACCTTGCCATAGTGTCCGACCCATCTCACAATCGCTACGGCCAACATCTGTCCCAGCAAGAAGTCCACGACCTTCTTCAACCCTCCGACGAGACGTTCAATCTGGTTTGGGATTGGCTGAGCGACAATGGCATTGACCCGTCCCATTGCGAAATCAATTCTGCCCGGGATTGGATCACTGTCACTCTCCCCGTCAACAAGGCCGAAGAGCTGCTCGACACCAAGTACTCCGTCTACCAGCATCAAGACGGCACCAAGCTCATTCGAACCTCCAGCTGGTCTCTCCCGCGCTCCCTCCATAACCATGTCACCACCATTCAACCCACCACTACTTTCCTTCGAGCCAATCCCAAGGCCAGTACCCTCATTGATGTCCCAATGGACCTTGACATTTCCCAGCTCACTGCCGCCGCGAATGCTACCACTATCAAAAGCTCCTGCAACTTTGGCGGCATGACGCCCAAATGCCTGCGAACCCTGTACAACACCATCAATTACAAGCCTCAAGCTGCCAACAACAATTCTGTCGCCTTCACCAACTACCTGGGCCAAGTTTCCAACCGGTCCGACGCCCAGACTTTTCTACGGAACTTTCGCTCTGAGGCAATCGACTCCGCCTACGCTGTCACCCAGGTCTCAGTGAATGGCGGAGCTGTTGACAATGGCACTGTGGGGGCGGGTTTAGAGGCCAACCTCGACCTTCAAACCATCCTCGGAATCGTCTATCCGACTCCCGTTACCTTGTACTCTACTGGTGGCGAGCCTCCGTTTCAACCCGATGACTTCACCGAGACGAATACGAATGAGCCCTACCTGACCTGGCTGCTCTTCTTGCGTGACCAAGACATCACATCCATTCCCAAGGTGATCTCCACCTCCTACGGTGACCATGAACAAACCGTCCCCCAAAGCTACGCTAAGACCGTGTGTAATCAATTCGCCGCCTTGGGCGCCCAGGGGATCTCGCTGTTCTTCAGCTCAGGGGACTCGGGCGTCGGTGAAAACTCCAGCTGCATCACTAATGACGGGACAAACCGAACCACTTTTATACCCGTTTTCCCCGCCTCCTGTCCGTATGTCACTTCCGTCGGCGGAACCATGAACTATCCGGAAGTGGTCGCCTTCGACACGCGCAATTCGTATGCCTCCGGGGCCGGTTTCAGCAATTACTTTCCTCGGCAGAAATGGCAAGACACCGCCGTGGGGCGATATCTCGATAGGATCGGTGACCAGTTTAAAGGCTTGTACAACCGTTCAGGTCGCGCGTATCCAGATGTAGCGGCTCAAGGGTACAGGTATCTGGTCTTTCTGGACGAAACCGTCAGAAGTGTTGATGGCACCAGCTGCTCCGCCCCAACCATTGCCAGCATCTTCTCACTGGTGAATGATGCACTCGCAGCAAGGGGTAAGCCGCCAATGGGCTGGCTCAATCCCTGGCTCTACCAGAAAGGCTTTGCGGCATTTGCTGATGTGGTCAATGGCAGCAGTGTCGGCTGTAGGGGGCCCGGATTCAGTGCGGCCGAGGGGTGGGACGTCGCAAGTGGCTTCGGCACTCCGGACTTCGAGAAAATTTTGGATGTGCTGGAAATTGGAGGGTCTTGAATTCCTAGATCCTCAGTGAAAACATCCTATCTTCTTACCCAAGAGATCTCAGTCCGATGCCCCTCCCCATGTAGGTGGTGTTCAGAGCGCTCAAAGATCTACACAATTACAAAATTTCACGAATCGCGCAGTGAACGAATGATCAAAACTAATTTGAGATGAGGTCAAATGATGAACTTGCTCAATATGCGACACAGCCACGCGGATACGACGTGATGAGACGGAGTGAATCTGCATTTACGACAACTACTGAACAGCAAGCATGCTGGGGACAGGCCAAGAAGGAAGCCTCAGCGGCCGTTGAAGCCCAAGGCCACGTGTACTGTTAAAGAGTATCCGAATGATGCAGAGTCTGGCTGACTGCACGAGGACCACGTAAATCATAGTCTCCTAGTCACACCAGGCATTGATTGATCTATCTCTATGCAAGACTTCACTGAGCTCCCCCCAAAGCGCCAGCAGATTCATTCTCCGTGTAGATTCCCCGCCATCAACTAGCTAGTTGGGAGACCGCAAGAATCAAGACCTGTGCCTAGTGACACATATACTCGTACTTGTACCTAACCGTTCTTCTCTCTCCCTCTTTCTCCTTCTCAGTCTCGGTCTGGGCGAGTTCAAGGCTGGGTTCAATCACGCTGCCGATCAACGATCTACACTCGAGAAGAAGAGGTCTCTCGTTTGAATCACACTTAAGGTCGAATTTGAACAGGATCTAAGAGTAGATGAGTTGAGAATTCGAGACATGGCTCGTATGTACACGCTCTCCACATCTGCCTGATGCCTGCCCCTAACGTCGGTGTTATACGAACGACAAGCCAGTCAGGTGGTCGGTCTCCCAGGCGGACACCCGCGTCGCTGATTGTGCCTGTTCCAACGCCTTGACTTCTTCAAGGCGCTTCAGATAATTTGGGCCCTTTCCTTTCAAGAACTTCATCTGACAATCCCTGCCGCTTGTTGCATAGACATTACATTTCCAGCGGACCCTCCCATCCCCAAGGACGATGGAGCATATGACCATTTAAGTGGCTTCACAATTCCATCGAACACCAGCATACCCATTGCACGCGATCCGTCACAGAGTCAAACTCGCCGAATTAAAGGGCCTGACCGTTGTGTTTTGTTATCCGCGAACAGGTATTTGGCCACCTCTCTCTTACACTATCCTTTTTGACGTTCCAGTATTGAGATATGGTCATTGACCAGGCGCACCCAACGAAACCATTCCCGACTCATGGAACTCCATCCCGGGCGCAAGAGGGTGCACGTCACAGGCCTGCTCCTTCCGGGATAATCTGCCAGAACTGTGGTCGCTAGGAGTTTCTCACATTTATGGAATCTCCACACAATCGCCCTCATATCAAGCGGAGGTGCATCAGCGGCTGCACCTTCCCTATGACCTTCTGAGTGACGAGGAGCCAGAGTTCTAGAGAGTGTTGAATCTACCGACATTCGATTGGGAAGGGGAGAAGGTTCTCAGACGTTCAATGATCGCGCTTCAGGATGGCAAGGTCGTGAAATGGTGGTATCCTGGTTTTTCCCCGGACCGCGGCGTAGATGAGTTGATTGAGTGGTTGAGGGGGCAATAGGAACCGTGGCAACCGTGGCAGTCTGCGACCGCTCCGAGCAAGTGAGCTCCACGAACTTCGGAGGCTGCTAGCTATGGTTTTGTTTTCCGCCCTTCCTTTTGTTGTGTTCCCCTTTCATGCTCCTGCCATGGCCACAGGGATAGTGGTCAGCACTCCGTTCTTATCATATCTTGCTTTGAAGAAAGTATAGCTTAGGGTGATGGTATCAATTCCCTTCATTTGTGGATCCTTAGCAAATTCAGGGTCAATGAAGAAGAAAACAGGCATGTCGACCGTCTCGCCCGCATTCAACCTCTGCTCTTCGAAGCAAAAACACTGGATCTTGCTGAAATACGGTGCCACTTGCGCAGGCGTCACAGAATATGTAGCCACGCCGATGATGTCTGCATCCCCCTTATTTGTGGCCGTGTAGAATGCCAATGCGGTCTCGCCAGGAAGAACCCGGACTTCGCGTTGCTGCGGTGTGAACTTCCAAGGGAGGATGTCGGAGACGGAACCATTGAAGGTGACACGCAAACGACGATGGTCTTCGACGGGTTTCAGACGCACAGCAGGGTCTCCGGCGGAATCATGGGCCTTCACCGGTTGGCCGGACCAGCCTGTTTGTTGACATATCTAAAGAAGATTCAGCACGATGAGGATACTGTTTGCTCTTCAGGTGTGAAGGTACTGACCATTTTGTAAAGAGGGACCGAAGCATACGAGAGAGCAAGAAGTAGTATTCCCGCACTCAGACCATAGTAGCTAAGCTCATAATCAGCTGCCCGCATAGCGTATATTTACCCTTTCCGTATACACACAGGGTTGTCTGATTCTTCTCCCGAGATTGGGCTCTGGCAGCCTCGAAAGCATTAGCATACTGAGAGGTTTTGGTTGACTGCGAAAGCGGTCGAGTTCGCGTTGCTGGTTGAAAGAACCTGGAGGCTATATCATGAGTCTGAAAGCGACGTAAAGATCTACAACAACCAGATATTACTCGTCCAGACAGACAAGACGGAGAAACCATAGTGAAGGCTGCAATGAACAATACGAATAATTAGTAGCTCGATTCACATTCGCGAAGCTATAGAAACTTTCCGCAGTGGCGTGAGCGTGGTACGCGTAGCTTGCATATGGGCTACCGTAGAAGTACGGCGAATTATTTGGACCTCATTTGTCAGCCTTGCGCAGGCTCAGCCTTGTACTGGGTACTCAGCCAAACCTTCCCCTATAAAGAGTTGTCCACTATTGTTGTTTGCTGTGCCCACTGCCTGCAACAACTCAATCTCAACGTCCCACCTATTGCATGACAATTTAGACCCAGATCAATAGATGTCCCCGTCACCAACAACCTAGGATGACAGAATGCTCAATCCTTCCCTAGTGCATCCTTTCATTGCTCTCTCCTAACATGCTTCCTCAGGAGAACGGCCGCGGCGCCGGTTTTAAGTTGTTCCAGGATCTAAAGAAAAAGTGGAGGACACCAAAAAGCTCCCTGTCGTCCGTCTTCCATCCAGAATGCGCCAGTGACACACAGACACCAATCACGTCAATCCTTCTGTGGCACGTTGGGGAAATCCATGACAGGGTCGAATGTTTGATTGCTTTATGGTACCAATACACAGACACAGCCGCGCCAGCTTGCATCACCCTCACCACTACCCGCAGTTACTCCCGTACTGTCACCATTATTCCTGGCTCGTTGGCTCCTGGAAAGCATGACCAAGTTTCACGCCATTCGCAAATCCCGCCCAGCTTCGTGCTGCGGCGTGGCTTTAGCTTGCGACGACTCCTCTGGAATTCTCGCCATAGCAATAGCCAATGCCGCTCATTCCCAAACCCTCCTTGTTTGAATTTGTCAATACCTGCACGTTGAAAGCATGTCTCCAAGCAAAGCGCTAGATCAAGCTACATCTGGTTGGTGAGCGCCCTTTTCTCCAGATCTTCTCTGAGTGTTATTTCACGTCACGCTTTTGTCTCCCGTTGGCGACCCCTTAATTCCCTTCAGCACGCCCGCCTTCAAAGTCTCAACTATGAGAATTGGTTGGCTTTCTTCTCGCCAATTTCAGCGTCGCCTCCTTATCTCTCTCACCCTTTCAGCCCTTGCCTCTTGGTGCTTGCTCCCACGAAGTCCAAAACATGAAGTGCAGCCAGCGGAGTTGGAGCGGCAATATCCCTTGCTTTGGCGGCACGTGCATTCGTTCAATGGTACTGGAGGAGGTGCGTATCTCCCAGTACTAGGAGTTCGACCAACATGCCAACAACATGTCCTTTCCATCATTCTTTTTTGCTTCAGCTTCCTGCTGACAAGCTCCAGCATGGTATATCCCGCCCTCCTGGCTGTCGTCTGCCGATGTTCAGCCGGAGACAATAGTCGATGCTGCCCTTCTGGCTTCGCAGGCTGCCAACAACAACAAGCACCGACTCATGGACCATTCTTCCATTCCGTTGCTGCTTCACCAAACATGGAAGAATCGATGTGTTGACACGTGGTCAGATCTGCTCCGCGCCAGTGTGGAGAAATGGTTGAACCATGTGGTGTCTGACGACATGGCTTACTTCTTCTGGGAAGACGATGGCATTGTGCAGATGTTGGCCGAGTTTGAACCACAGTTTGTTCACCGATTCGTTTCGTTGCCTTCCAACGTGGAACGGGCTGATGTTTTCCGCATTTTGGTCTTGAAATGGTTTGGTGGAATTGTAAGATTTTAATACTTGTACCTCGCGCGGTCAGCCTTCTCAGCTAATCAACATCATTCCAGTACGCAGACGTGGATACTCGACCGCTACGCCGGCCTGCTTCTTGGATCTCAGCTTCCGACCTTGCTGCTTGGACGGACTCCGTCGCGGAAATGAGCTTTTCTTTCGACAACCCAGTCGGCAGCATTCTCGGCATAGAAGCAGATTGTTCGCCCAACAAGAATGATTATTGGCGTATGGGATATTCTTACCCTGTGCAACTTACACAGTGGGCCTTGGCTTCTAGTTCGGGCCACGCCATTCTTCTGCGCTTCATGGACATCCTTCAACGTAGGCTAGAGGACGTAGCCAGGCGCAACAGGGGAGACATCAACGCTCCAGAGGCAGTCAGGGAACTCCGACAGATTGGACCCCTGTCTTTGACAGGACCAGTAGCTGTGACAATCGCGGCGAAGAGTTGGCTGGAGCAGCGAACCGGACTGCGGTGGAACGGTCTGACGGGATTGATGGACGGTGGTCAAAGCAAGCTGGTGGAAGATGTTCTGGTTTTGCCAATCACCGGATTTAGGTACGCATCACTCTTCTCTGTTGCAGTTATATCATTCAAATACTCACATCGGACAGCCCCGGCCGAGGCAGATATGGCAACATGGGGTCCAAGCCAGTCACTGATCCGTCAGCGCGAGTTTGGCACCAGGCGCAAGGGTCTTGGCGGTCCTTCGACCCAAAAGTTGAGTTTGGGAAAGTCTGTCGGACCTTGTTAGGATTGTGCAAAGACTGGTCGAAGCAGCCAGATTGATTGAGTGATTGGTTAGCTGGACCTCAAGTTCGACCAGTTGGGATTTTGAACCCTCCTCATTTCGGCGGCTCAAATGCGAAGGCAGCACAAGTACTAATAGTCGACAGAGTTGTACAACAGCGCATAGGCGTCTAAGAAACAATGAGCAAGGAGTATCTCGCTTTCATTTTGTCGAGTGTTGGATTTTATGTTATTGATCTGGAATCGAGTTGGAAAAGCCACTGATATACTCCAAACAGGAGGCATTCTCAATATGCAGGGATTGCCGCTCGGACGACTTTCCACATCATTTAGCATTGCATCCCTGAACGCTAAAAAAAAGTTCAGTCAGGCGGTTGTATCTGAGCCCACTGCGTTCTCCCCTCACCCTGCCATCCTGATTTATCAATCTGGTATTCGATAGCGAAGGGTTATCCTGTGAAAGTAAACACCTTCGATAACTGTGAAGCCGTGCTCTTCAGCATTACGCGATGTCTCTCCCGGCTTCGTTCCCGCAGTTCATCGACTTTATTTCAGCACAGAAGCACCTCTACAGCAAGCTTCTAAGCAAACATTGTCTCTTGTACAGACAAAGTACACACAATGTATACGCGTGGATAATAATAGCCCTTGCCAGAGGAACCTAATCTTGTTCTTAGCAAGGTTTGAATCTTAATTCTAGTATTCAGCGCCCGTCTGAATGAAAGGCGCCCATTCTGGGACAACCGCACTACTAGTGTGCTGAGAGACATACCATCTGGACCTGGGCGTGATTGATGGAGTCCATCTGCTTCAAAGTCGAATTTTTCCGAAGCGTCGCGGTTGAGTAAGAGAGCGTCCTATTCCTGTCCCAGGACTCTATAAACTAGGGAAGGAGTCATACGGGTTTCCCTTCGAGAAATCTCAACTACATAGGTAAGGTTTTAAATCTATGTAAGCCTGTAAACGCCGGGGTTAAAGTTGCCAATCGGAGGGGAGGGGAGGTCTAGGCCATTGCCGACTATTCCAAGCGCTCGTTCTGCTCTCTCCCAGCTTCAACGCAGTCTCTTTTTCGTCAAAACCACCTCATTTCGCCAGCCACCCTTGGTTAACGCTGCAAAGACCCCCTGCATAGATAGATGAGTCCAGACGATCCCTGCGTCGTCAAAGATGCGCTTCATTCCGGCGAGCAGCATCTCCTTCTGCATGGAGTCGGCCAGCACCCCGTAGCACAAGGGTCCCGCAAAGGTCATATAGAAGGCACCAAAGGGCTTGGTTGTCTTCGCAAAGTCGAGTGTCTCTAGGATGTAGGTTGCGGATTGTGAGGTCTGTAGCGAGATCGCCGGGTTGGGAGCCGAGAGCAAGCTTTGGAGAACTGTGTTGACTAGGATAGTGCAGGTGTGGTAGAAGGTGGCTTGTTTGATGTACCGCGCGGGCTGGAGTGATTCGAGCTTGGTCTCAGGACGGAAATCGCGAACGGGCAATAGGCCTCGGTACGCTCGTGGGTAGGTGGCATACACGCTGGGTGTGGAGAGGTTATGCGTGACGGCGTCAGACCGGAAGACGATCGAGGCGCGGATGTTGTATATTTGAGAGAGCAGCTCCGCATCGAGATTTGACGAGCTCGACGATGGAGTCGCTCGATCTATTGCCCTTGCTCGCACCTGTAACCCAGGCAGCCTGGCAAGGGCCGTCCATAACTCTGCTGTGATAGAGCTCTCATAGCCATTCCAAGTCCTGCGCATTGTGTTTGCCCATTCGGGTCCGCTGAGAAAGCAGTCCTCACCGCGCAACATGCATTGCGTGATGATTGTCGGATACTGCGTCATGAATATTGCGACTTCAAACTGCGACGACTGCACTCGACCTGGGCCACAGCCTCTGAGAATGGCGGAGACACCACCTGAAAGCGTGACGAATGTGTAAGCTGGGCCAGGTTTCAGGATTTCATACTGAGCGAGAAGAAGTGACGCGCAGAGTGTTTCAGACGGCGTGGAGAGTAGTCCATTGTCGTCGTATTGGGCCAGCTCTCGTCGAAGCGCGGAGATGGCGGTACAATAGCATACCAGCTCAAGAGAATTGTTGCGAGGCTCGCCCACGGAGACAGCAGTGAAGGAATACAGGAGACAATTGACTGCAGCGTCAAGGGCTACGCTGCAACCTAAACGAGGTGGGAGTTGTCCAAAATACGAGCCAATCTGTTGCAAACGTGCACCGAACCCTGAAGGTCTTTCGAGCACCGTGATCAGGGTCGCAGCAAGGCGCTCGGATTGGGTGAGGGGAATGACTGGTGCTAGATGATCTGTCGTTGCCTCAGACTGGGCGATTCTGTTCGACTCCAAGCAATCAGGCCAATTATTGCCACCATTTTCATGAATCGAAATGCGGCATCCAAGGCTTGAACAAGCTGCGCGTGCTGTTCTGGCGAGCCATACTGATATCGAAACGGGGAATCTGGGCCTGTGCAATGACGTCTGCTTTTCTCGCATTGTGAGCATATGGGCGTGCGCTCATCGCACTAGTTGAAGTCTGGGTTAGATTTGCGATATGGAGCGGCTCGCGTTGCGGAAAGAATCGACGCAGAGATCTGATCTTCGAGGGAGCTTACTTTTATAGTCGCTGCTTGCACGTTCGGCAGCCTTTACTCCTAGCGCCGGGCATATTGACCTTTCCTGCCGCACTTTTAGTTCATACTTGATAGCCTCTCTTTGCAAGACGACGACGTTTTTGTCTGAGAAGTGGGAGAGCAAAGGATGACACAGCGGTAGTTTCGAGTTTGATCCTTCTTAAAGAAACCGTAGCTGGTGACTTAGCTTCAACCCCCATGACTCCACTTGTTGATCTTTTGAAACCAACTGGAGATAGGCCTAGTTGATCCGTCCAGGACAAGCAGAAGGCAGAACCGTGGACATGATCTGCTGGGGCTCATTAGAGGCTGAATATCGGATCTACGGCTGTAGGTGGCGCGGCAGGGCTTTGATCGACCATTTGCATCGATCCACAAGCCATGAGTGGAGTCAATCTTTGCCCAGGTGGTAGGTCGATCATGCATGACCGTTTGAACGCGCGAAAAATGTGTAGTAATAAGTGAGTAGATGATACTCAACCGAAAATGGGAAGCAGGAGGCCTCAAAATAGGGAGTAATACGAGCAGTATTACCTCGTGCGAGATACCGAGTACCCGTCGTGTCATTTACCTCGGGGAAACTAGCCGCAGAAGGTATAAGTAGGAATGAGATGCCTAAGGTGTCCCAAACACAATTGCGATACAAGCATTCCCTCGTATGGAGCCCTCTGTACAGAGTAGTACTGAATCTCATAAAGCACGGGATACAATGAAGTGCCAGAAGAGAGGTTGAACAGGTTACTCAGCCCAGGTACGTAACCCAGGTCACGGGAAATGATGCAAAGTACTTCAAGTCACGTGCAGCGTCAACTCGTCACTGTCGAAGGCTTTGTCTCGAGGGTGCACATGTACATTTACCGTGACGTCAAACGCACAGGAAGTGGAGTGAATGGAGTGAAGGGGCGCTCAACATTGAACAAAAATTTCCGGTCAACAAGCAAATGGATGGGCTGCTGGTACGTGGCCCACCACTGCTGTTGAATCTTTAAATGGACCTGTTCCATACCGTCACTCAAGCCATTGACCAAGTTTTGACTTGCGACTGGTACGAGTCGTTCAAGTCATTCAAAATGGAAGGCAACAAGGCCCAAGACAAAACTATTGATACAGCGCCAGGAGGCGAGACCCCTCAGTATGTGCTTTATGCGTACCCTCAATGCAAGTCGGTGACCGGATGTTGATGACCCTCCGTAGATATGAGTCCATTCAGACTGAGACTGTTGCCACCTCGAAGCAAAGAGGTCAATTGGGCGGTACGCCATTGAAACCGTGTCCCTCTCCCCTCTGCACCTGACCTTCGCTCTAGCTGGCTCCAATACCTCGGAAATCCCCTCCCTTTCTGAAGATCGTGGACAACAGACGGCCGACAACATAATATGCGGCCAGAATATCTCGGAGTCAGGTATGGGTGGCAAGACGGCGTCACAGGGCGGTAATGCTGGTCAACAAGGTGGCTATGGAGGGACATCAGATCAGGCCGAGGGACAGAAGGACACCCGGCCGCAACAAAGATATGAGGGAGGAACCGGGATCGGAGCGTGAGGTGGGAATACTTCGATCTTGAACAAGGGCACGTTGATGTCGCCTGCCTCACGGCGAAACGTGAAAAGTTGTTGGCGGTGGACCTAGTTCAGTTCCCATCGTCTGAGGAAGTCCTGCCATCGCAGGTGTGGTCGGTTGTGTCCTGTTGTTGTTCTTGGGTTCCACTTCTCTCCTGGCCTCCTTGAGCTTCTCCAATGTCACTCCATTGCCCAGTTTTGTGATGCCAACCATCGGCGGGTCTCCCTTCTTTACGAACTCCCAAAGGCCCGGCAGTTTGTTTCCAGCCAACCTAAATGCGTCTCTTACCACCTGCTCGTGGAGTTTGCCCTTAATCTCAAACACGACCCTGCTGACTGGTATACGCGCTGCCCAGTAGTCGAATTTACCCTTTCCTTTTCCCATTCGCACGTCACTGCCTTTCGTATAGACACCAATATTTGCGCTTACTCTCTTGTACAACCTAAAACGTTCGCCCCGCAGTCTCCTGTTGATAGTTTCTTCGGCATTCTTGAGTTGTTTCGCCGAGACTCGTCGATCGTGATCTTTCATCCGCAGCCCGTAGTCGCCCCAGACAACGGTCGTGCCACGCATTGAACCGCCAGTGGGCATTCGTGGACGTCCTACGTGAGACTTCCTCACTTCCGGCCTTTTTGGTGTCAACCAGTCCTGACGGACTGTTGTGGTGGAGAACGAGCGGTTGCATCTTGATGGATCTCGGATCGCGGGATGGGCAAGTATAGGGCACTGTATCCCAGTGTGCCTCATGATCGACTTTCTCGGGTAGTTCGAGATCAGGGGTTTTATATGTGGGTATCTCAAGCAAGCCACTGGAAAGGTGTCAGTATTTGCAGCAATCCTCAAAACATGCAGACGAAGCTTCATACAGGACGGGCCGGCTGGCTGCGCAGCCATCTTTCCGGTTTCTTCAAGCCGCGGATAAATGCGCTTTATACAGCACGTAGCAGGGCCCATGGGGGAAGAAGCTGTGATCCAAGAGGATGTAACCAGTCTGATGACAAGGTCGGCGGTTGTTCGTCGTGTTACTGGTCACGGTGCACACTATGTAATGTCCAATTCACTCCATTCAGAACGAAAAAGCTTCCGAGCTGAATCAGCAATCTGCCAAGACCTGGCCGCTTTAAGCATAGCATGTCCAAGGTGCTACATATATTTCCACTCATCGCTGTCATGGAGTCACCACTCCTTGCAAAATAAGCTCTTCCAGCTACCTAGGTATTTAATTGGAAGTTATCGTAATCGGTCTGCCACATGCCAGCCTGGTCAAACGTATCCGCCATGAAAGCATCCTGCAAGAAATTGTCATGGGTGTCGAACGACCATGAGAGAGGATTCCAATTCCACTCTGCCGGTGTCTGCGCTAAAACCAGGTGAGGCCCCGTACTTGCAGATATGCTACTAGGCTGTTGGTGGACGATCTGCTCGTGCGATCTCCATAGGCCTGTATCTGATTGGATTTGGAAAGGCGCCTGGTTCGTTGTGGCTGGGCATTGTGAAGGGTCGACATTGCGGCGAACGTTGACATTTCCAAGCAGAGGAACCTTTAAATTCAGTTGACGCGAATCTGCGGTATCGCTATTTTGCTGAAGTAGAGCATTGAGAGAACGAATGGTGAGAGCGCCGAGCCGCGCAAAGCTGGAATTGGTTGTATCACGAGACTTCTCCTCCATGACCTGGAGCACTTGCGCTGCTATGCCCTGCACTCTGACCTTGTTCGCCTCTGAGTCAAGACGATTGCTGGAGGGTCCGCTGTGGGATGTGAGGAGGAGAACGATGGTTGCCGTAAAGGCCTGCAGATCCATGATAGGAGAAAGAAAAATGCCAGATGGAAGCATTCGGCGCAGAGGCTGATAGCGTTGCGCAACCGCTTCACAGGCCTCCATACAAGTCATGCGGCTGTACATGTTTCCCTCAGCTGGGTCCTGGCGCATGGTAAAGGGCAAATGAACCCTCATCAGGAAATAATAGTGCAAAAGTTGGCAAAGATTTTCCGGTTTGACATGCACAAAGTCCTGATCCCACCAAGACTTGGGGGTCTGAGAAGCAAGGACCCGAAGCTCTCGGTCAAGCTCCAGAGCGTACGCATACGCTTGAGCGCCAGATCCGTGGACAGTGCCAAGGTCATCGAGGGTATGGAATCTGCCCGTGATATCCGTCAACTTGTTAAGGTATACCGAGGCTTGAACGACACCGTTGAATGTTAGCGCTCGAGTATTTGTTTGTTCGAACCGCCGAGTAGCAGGTGGACGATTGATAATCATGCACAATAATCTCTCCGCAGAGCACATGAATTCCCAGAGTTGGATTTTCTGGACCTGTAGCTGATCTGGCGCTCCAGCGATACCGTTATGCTGGGTGACTTGAGACGCTTTTGGCAGCCCCAGCAGCTCTGCCATTGCTACAAAATGTCGCATGCGGATCCATGCTTTCTGGAAATTCCCTTGGCTTATCTGGCTGCCGCGTTTGTCAGCTCTCCCCAGACACGGAAACATTGAGAAGGAGCCTTACAGTCGAAGGAACTATACGGCTCTGTTAGCACGAGCTGATCAAGACGGGTGCGATGGAAATAGCTTTTACCCAGGAGGACACGGTCACTTGAAGAGAAAGGGGACTCACATGCATGGCCATTCCCAGTCCCTGTATTGTTCCCATCAGCCGGTCGTGAGATATCAGCGTACTCTCCACGGTGTCAGATATTGCTCGGGAGAAATCCGAGATTCGGCGAAACCTTTTGAGCGATGTCGAAGGACTGCCCTGATCTTGTGTGTTTTGCTGGGCCGTGACAGCAAGATCAAGCAGCCATGCAGCCAAGTTCATGGCATCCGCATCGGGTGCGCACATGTTTTCATAGCTTTCTAGTAGTTCTTGCTGAGATCTCACAGCAAATGGGTGGGGAAGCAGGGCTTGAACCAGATCAATCCATTTTGAGGCCGTCCTACCCATGTCCAGGACATTTTCCCTTCGTGGGATTAGCTGTTGTAGTTCCTGCCTAGCCGTATTCAGGAGATGCGCTGATGCCTTGGCTTTGCGTTCCTGCAGTTCCTGATCTTGCCGACCAAAGTCACCGCTCAACCAGTCATTCTGGAATAACGAACGGAGATGTGATGGTTGCTCCGTCGCGAAGACGTCGGAAACATTGGACTCATCGTCAGAACCATCGTCTCCAGGGCTGCTAGGAGGTTGAATAGAAGCGGGCCCTGTGGGGTCTGCCACCTTGAAACCCAGGTTTGATTGGATTTCATGCACAGCCTTGCGCAGACTGGCAACCTCAGACTCCAGCAGAGCAATCCGATGGCGCGAGGGTAATCTCTGTTCGTGAACAGGCCTAGAAGTGTATACTTGGGCAACACATTTCAAGCCTCGATCTTCGCAGCTTCGACAAGACTCCGCGTCTTCGGACTTTCGAATACAACGAATCTTCCGCCGCCTACCTACATCTCATCAGAACCGCGTCCGGAGTGCGTCAGCACGATGGCGGCACATACACTCGCTACAGCTCTTTGTTCCCTTTCGGGTCAATTTTGGCACCTCAGGTTGTGACATGGTCGCCTCGTTAATCAGCAACTATTCTAGTAAAGTGTTCGAACTGGAACGTTGCTGGAATGTAACGGACAAAAGAGAGCCGGCTCGGAGGACACGGATGCTGTGTCTGACAAGAATGATTGCAGTTGGAATCCTTTGGTTCCGAGGAGAAAAGGCGTGAAAGGGCAGCAAAAGACAAGCAACGGAGTTGAGTTTTGCTACTGTCAAAACGGGTTGCTATTTCCCACTCGGGTGCCGGAAGGAGACGAAACCGAGAAGTCACATGTTGAGTCGGGGACGTTCTCAGTAAAGGCTCGCTCGAATTTTTTTCCGCGGATCCGTTTCTATCGCGAGGTCCGTCGAGCGCCTTGGTCGGTATCCACTCCTATTGGTCTTCGGCGCCTGCTTCCAAATCATTCACCTTTCAAAGAAAGGAATCGTTACCAGGACGAGTAGGGCGTACTCTTTCCAGCGTCTGGAATTAGCTCTATTGCGAGGTGCGAGAAGCGAAATCCCTCTTTTTTTTCTATTCGATCTGGCGTTTGGAGATCTGTCTGCGTCATGGCTATGCGACGGCTACAGGTATATAGAGTGGGACACCCACTGGGAGGATCTCAACATGGTCAACATACAAGGGCAAGAAGGGCACACTACAACTTCAACAAATCGAATTGTCATTATCGCAACCCACCAGCACAATGGGAGGTCCATATCCTTCGAAAGTGGCCGGGATAGGGGGCGTACCGACAGTCACCACCGATATTCCAGTCGACTCGGTCTTCATAATTTTATACGTCTGCTTCGCGGCGACAAACATGACCATCTTTCAGCTCAACCGCCGAAAAAACCACAAGTTCATCCCATCAGCGCTCTTGTTTGGCTTCTGTATGGCGAGGATAGTTACGCTGTGTCTCCGGATCGGGTGGGCTACGGCACCGCATGATGTTCAATTGGCAATCGCCGCCCAAATTTTTGTGAACGCCGGCATCCTGATAGTCTACATCATCAACTTGATCCTTGCTCAACGCATTCTGCGAGCCTCCCTCCCCCAGATAGGATGGAATCCAATCTTGCGAGCCGCGTACAAGTTCTTGTACATCGGTATCGGGGTGGCGCTTGCCATGGTCATAGCGTCTGTGGTCGTGTCATCCTACACACTCGATCCGCACACTAAGTCGGTTTGTCGAGATATCCAGCTGGCTGCGATCACCTATCTCCTCATCTTCACCTGCCTTCCAGCGGCCCATACAGCCTTGGTGCTCTTGTTGCCGAGGTCGGGAGATGCGGAGAACTTCGGCAAAGGCAGCATGAAGAGCAAGCTAATCATTGTCACCTCTTCAGCGTGTCTGTGCATGTTGATAGCGGGCTTCAAAGCCGGCATAACCTGGGAGACCCCACGACCAGTCACTAATCCACCCTGGTACGATTCGAAAGCCTGCTTCTATGTCTTCAACTTTACGCTTGAGATCATCCTGCTCGGCATCTTGACGTTTACCCGAATCGACAAGCGGTTCTTTGTTCCTAATGGATCGAAGAAAGCGGGAGACTACAGTAGACTCTCAGAAGAGGCTCAGCCGAAGACGGAACATGCCCTATGGTATGCGACATCGCAAGATACTGAGAAGCCGTAATTACATATAACCAAGGACATGATGGGATGATATGGTTAGCTCAGCGGAAATAGAATAGGTGGTCCTGCACATGTTAGGACAAAATAGGTATGATATAGATTGACCATTCCTGAAGGACAAGCGAAAACGTGCTCTCGGCTGTATATACTAGCTAGATATGAAAATAACTTCCTCTCGGAAATCCGTCAGTATCGGACATTGTCATCATTGCAGAGCTCTTGGGGCTATGCGATGCCGTGGCATTGAATTGTGTTTGCTCCGCCGTACCACAAGTGGCCGGGTGGCCTCACCGCATCACTTCTGCGTACACGATTCGTACAAATCGGTAAGAGTATAGTGGGTTTACGCGTCGCGTCCGGCTCGAATTACATATTGAAAGGCGGGATATCTGCGGCATTTCACTTGCTCCTGCCCGAGCCACACCAGGTCATCGCACTCTCCGTTTCTTTAGCAATCTGTCTCCATTCATGGTTGTCCTCGGTTTATTGCAGTCATTCTACGTCCTAGACCTTGACTTGAACACACAACATGCCATCAGACATCAGGAGTTTCTTCGGAAGTGGAGGAGGGCCGAAGTCGTTGACGAAAACTGGTACCTCCAAGAGTAACAAGGATGGTGTACGCCCATTCTCATTCTCTGAAGCATAAAATCCAGCCGACTGATCATTCGATAGGATGGAGCCAAAGCGACTATCAAGCAACGCGGCCGGCGCAAAATCGTTTCCGACGACGACGATGATG